CAGTTGCTTCGTTTGCTATTATTTTCTCCCAATCTGAGGGTTGTCTTTTCACCTTGCTTATAGTGTCCTTTGTTGTGCAAAAGCTTTTAAGTTTGATTAGGTCCCATTTGTTTATTTTTGCTTGTATTTCCAATATTCTGGAAGGTGGGTCACAGAGGATCCTGCTGTGATTTGTCAGAGAGTGTTTTGCCTATGTTCTCCTCTAGGAGTTTTATAGTTTCTGGTCTTACATTTAGATCTTTAATCCATTTTGAGTTTATTTTTTTGTGTATGGTGTTAAAAAGTGTTCTAGTTTCATTCTTTTACAAGTGGTTGACCAGTTTTCCCAACACCACTTGTTAAAGAGGTTGTCTTTTTTCCATTGTATATTCTTGCCTCCTTTGTTGAAGATAAGGTGACCATAGGTTCGTGAATTTATCTCTGGGCTTTCTATTCTGTTCCATTGATCTATATTTCTGTCTTTGTGCCAGTACCATAGTGTCTTGATGCCTGTGGCTTTGTAGTATAGTCTGAAGTCAGGCAGGTTGATTCCTCCAGTTCCATTCTTCTTTCTCAAGACTACTTTGGCTATTCGAGGTTTTTTGTATTTCCATACAAATTGTGAAATTATTTGTTCTAGTTCTGTGAAAAATACCGTTGGTAGCTTGATAGGGATTGCATTGAATCTATAGATTGCTTTGGGTAGTATAGCCATTTTGACAATATTGATTCTTCCAATCCATGAACACGGTATATTTCTCCATCTGTTTGTGTCCTCTTTGATTTCTTTCATCAGTGTTTTATAGTTTTCTATGTATGGGTCTTTTGGAGATGACTCTTGAGGGTCTCTTTAACAGCAAGGAGATCAAACCAATATCAATTCTAAAGTAAATCAACCCTGAATATTCATTGGAAGGACTGATGCTGAAGCTGAAGCTCCAATGCCTTAACCACTTGATGCTAAGAACCAATTCATCTGAAAAGACCCTGAGACTGGGGAAAATTGAGGGCAGGAGGAGAAGGGGACAACAAAGGGTGAGATGGTTGCATGGCATCACTGGTTCAATGGACATGAGTTTAAGCAAGCTCCAGGAAATAGTGAAGGGCAGAAGCCTGGTGTGCTGCAGCCCATGGGGTTGCAAAACAGTCAGACATGACTGAGCGACTGAACAACAAGAAGTCCTAACAGCTGTGGTCAAGGCAGGCCTGTTCTAGGTTAGAGCAGGGAGATAGATGTGTTGGAAAAAACAGAGGGAGAATCTGTGGTGAAAGGCTAGGTCATTCCAAAGATTTCAGTAAAGCCTGCAGGATCCAGGCTGACTTCCTGGGCATGTGAGCTGCCAGGTTGCACGGGGTCCCCCCCTCAGAAGGGCCCCATGCTGGCCTTAGTGCTTTAATGTTGATGTCTTGATATTCTTAAGAAGTTTTAAACCTGAAACCCTATATTTTAACTTTGCACCAGGCCTTGAAAATTATGTTGCTGATCCTGGCCAGGGAGCATTGAACCGAAGACTCATCTCCAGAAATATAAGCTGGCCTGAACAACAAGAGAAGCATGAAGTAGTGACCCCTCCTGGTTATTAGGGCAGGGGCCAGGGGCAGTCGTCAAGTGATTTTAGAACCTAATATTATAGAACCAGACAGAGGTTAGGGGCCCAGCTTGAATAGGCAAGGACCGTGGCAGGAACTGACACTGCAGGAGAACTGTGTCTTGGAGTGTACCTCGGGGGAATCGAGGCGCAGAGCCCTGGGCTTAGGAAAGCTGCGCTGGTATCAGGTGTGTATCCGCCAATCAGCTGTGGCCCCCAGCAGAGTCTCACGGCCACAGCCAATCAGCGGAGAGGAAGAGTATTACAGGCAGAGGAGGTCTCCCATAGATGGAGCTACATGTAGATGCTAGCTTTGCCACCTACAGGTGTTGTGGCTTCAGGTAAGGAAGGCTCCTTACTTCTCTGAGCCTGAATTTCTTCATCTATGGAATGACAAAAACAATACCTGTTCACAGTTGATGGGAAGGTTAGATGAGATACGGTATATAAAATTTCTACTACTTCGCCTGCACCAGGTAAATAATCTGCAGTTGCTCTTATAGCCTATTGTTAATTTAAGAGAGCCAGAGTTTAAAAAAAAAGGAGGTTTTAATCCCACTGGCTGTGACCTTGGGCAAACCACTTTGCATGTCTAGATCTCAATTTCTTCATAAGTAAAGGGAAATAAAAAACCCAATGCCTGAGACAGTGTCTTGCACATAGTAGGTACTCACTAAATGCGTATTAAATGTTCTACTGCACTGCAACACAAGATATGAGAGCTATTTGCAAAGCTGCAAAGGGCTTTGCCACTGTATTATCTTTTTGTTGACCTTAGAGAATCAGGTTTATTACTTGGTAGGGTAGGAATCAAATAAGGTTGAGATCACCTCACTCTGAAAATAAAATAACTTTCTGAGTGCTTGCCTGCCTTGGGATTTGGGTCAGTCTTTTGTTACTGGCATCAGCACATAGCTAACTAATCCAAATGTAACCAAACTGAGCTGGGAGTCTTTGCATTGCTTTTTTTCTTCCAAGTTTTTCTTTCTAGAATAAAAGGGAAATGGTATTATCACATGGGTTACCACAAATCAAAAAGTATAATTAATGACAAGACATTCAATCTGCATGCACCTACATCAAATGGATTCAGAGCATGTCATTCCTTTTCGTGACAGCTCATGAAGCATGAAGACTATTTAGAGAGGATGAAAAAGTCTCATTCATTAGCCTCTGGGATGCCAAGAGGGGAAATGACTTATGTACAAAGGATACAAAGCACATATTTTTCTTGTTCTGAGTTTACGTATTCCACATAGGATTACAGGAAACCCTGTGCCACCAGACTACGTGCCTTGGATGAGAAGAGTTCTGGGCTGCAAGGATAGAATAACAACCTGAACACTGAGACACCAAAGGTCAACTTCACTGAACTGAAGTGACCTTGAGATTGAAACGGTTCTTAAGGCATTATATACCTTCTGCCTCAAATGATGGAATAATATGACCGACAATTGCAACTGAGACCAACCTGGGTAGATCTCCACCAAAAATCTGTGTTCCTCCTTTTATTATAGACAGCTGTAGCTTCTCTATCAAGGGCTAAGTTTCCCAGTCTTCTAGCAGTAAGTGTGACTGTGTCTACAAGTTCTCAACAATGGAATGTGTTGTAATTGATGTGTGAATATATCTTCTTTGGAGAACTGTGCATATAAATATTTGGCCCATCACTATTTGGATTGTCATTTTCTTCTTGAATTTCTGGTTGAGTTTGATAGTTCTTTATATATTTGATAATAGTTTTCTATATATATGTTATTTTTCTCTTATCAGATATATGATTTACAAATATTTTCTCACATTTTGTGTATTGTCTTCTCACTTTCTTGATGGTATTTGTGAAGCACAAAGGTTTCAGTTGATGAAGTCCATTTTTTTCCTGTTTTTTCTTTGTTGTTTGTGCTTTTGGTGCCATAACTAAGAAACCATAGCCTGATTCAAGGTCATGAAGATTTACACCTATGTTTTTTTCCTAAGACTTTCATAGTTTTGACTCTTAACATTTTCAACTTTGAACTATTTGAGTTCATTTTTGTGTATGTTGTGAGGTAGGAGTTTAATTGCTTCTAGAATCATCCAAACATTCTCAGAGAATTGCAGCACCCCCTTTTGTGCCACACTGTCTATTTGTGTTTTTATGTGTTTTGACAGTCTGTATAATCAGTGTGTGTGTATGTATGTTTTGAAAGCTCAAGAAAAACATATCTTCCTTAGGGTAGCAAGTATTCTATGAACTTCTGTATCTATAGCACTCAAAACAATAGTTTAACATTTGTATACTGTACTAGAACTAGTCAGTACCTTTTCTCATCTATTGTGCTATTTTAGTTTCACTGAAATCCTAAGGTAGGTGATACTCCTGGACCTAGAAGCTAAGAAATGTTAACATGGCCAAGATCACAATATTACTAATAAGCAAATTATAGATGTAAAACCGGGTTTCCAGATTATGTGCTCTTCCTGTTCTATATATTTATTACTATGATGAAATGGAGTGCTTTAAAAATAGTTTCATTAACTCATTCATATATTCCAGAAATATTTAATAAGCCTCTGTTATTTGCTGGGCATTGGGCAAAACACTGACAAGAAATGATGAGCAGCAATGGACATAGTTCTTTCACTTGTGAGATGGACTTGATGGACAATCAAATGGTCAACAAATACATATATAGTTACAATTGTGATCAGTGGTAGAAGGTGGACTTGCATGCATCATTATGAGTAAATAATGAGGTGCTCCGACTAGTAAGATAGGTCAGGTGCCGATTCTCTGGGAAGTAGTACTTCAGTGAGATCTGAAGTTAATAGGAGCTAAGTAAAGAGCAGGTAAAGAGCATTCTACACAGGAATAATAGTCTGTGCAAATGTCCTGTGGCAGCACCAGCCATCTGAGAAATCTAAGGATTTTGTCTACTCCATTTAAAATGTATTAGTTAAAACAATATATCACAACTGAACAGGAAAAAGATGCAGTGTACACAAAAAGACAAGTTAACCCTAATTTCTTTAAGACCTCATTTATCCATCTCTTTGCTTTTAAGCACCTACATCAGAAAATAAAGAGGAGAACAAAAAAGGAAATTATATCACTGTATACATCTAAATCCATGCAATTGATCAACAAGAGTGTTAGTTGAGTATTTCAAGGACATGAGGATGCTAGTCTCTTCTCTGAGATGGTCCTCAGAAGAATAAATGTCATCATTACTTTGAGGGCTTGTGAGGCCTGTGAACTTGTGCGTGCGTGCTAAGTCGCTCAGTTATGCCCAACTCTTTGTGACCCCATGGACCGCAGCCTGCCAGACTCCTTTGTCCATGGAATTTTCCAGGCAAGAATACTGGAATGGGTTGCCATTTCCTCCTCTAGGGGATCTTCCTGACTCAGCAAACCCATGTCTCCTGCATCTCCTCCTTTGGCAGGAGTGTCACCTGGTAGAAACCTTAATGCCATCAGGGCAGTCCCCAAGGTCCTGTTTTTGGGCAGAGTAAGCTGCTTTGCTCCAGGGTTATCAGGCATGTTCCCATATGTATCCGTGCATTAATCAATTCAAGTTCTGGATTAAAGGCAATGAATCACCTTGAGGATTATCTGTGATGTTGGAGCTTGCAGGAGTTTTAACAGCCAATTTGGAATCCAACACTGTTGTTGAATTTAGAGGGAAAAAATATTCACATATAAGAAGCATATTTCACCCAAGGAGGATTAATCATTATTAAGAAGGAGGAGACCTATGATGACTGGCAGGGAAGGAATGTCTGGGAGAAATTGTGACCTGCTAATTTAATTAGTATCTGCACTTCTATTTGATTTCCTTCCTTGTCTAGGAATTTTGTTTGGCGTTGTATGTGCTTAGTCATTTTGTCATGCGTCAGACACTAGCGATCCGAGCACTGGGCTCTATGTAGCATTGGGCTACATAGAAGCCTAAGAAACAGGTCCTGCCTTGTAAGGAGTAACCAGCAGAAAATCTGATCCCAAGAAGTGCTTTAAAAACATCGATTGAAATGAATAGTACTTTATAAAATTAAATGTGTTCATTGTTTGGGGGAGAGTGAAAAAAGTAGTTATCCTGTAATATAACAGCTTCTTTTTCACCTTAGAGATGCAGGGTTTTATAGAAATTAAGGGTTCTAGATTTATAGAAATTGACATGAAATCCAGGCTCAAATCCTGTCTCTGTCAACAGTCACCAGTGTGACCTTGGGCAAACTGCTTGACATCTATGTGCCAGTTTCCTCATCTGTCCAATGAGATTAAGGCTAGTACTTACCTCAAAATGTTAAAAAAATTTACAAGTGCTAGTATATATAAATCACTTAGTCAGATGTTTGATACATGTGTTCAATATGAAGAGCATTTTGAATTGCAAAGGATTTAAAAGGTCTCAAGGCTCACAAAGAAGTAAGAGTAGGAAGTTCTCCGTTTGAATGACTGAAGATCCGGATGTGATTTCTGGTGGACGTGAGGGTGGATAGGTGGATGGAGGGGTGGATAGATGGATGGGTGGGTGGATGGATGGATGGGTGGGTGGATGGGTGGATGGGTGAGTAGGTGGATGAATGAGTGGATGGCAGGATAATGGCAGCACAGGAGAGGGGTTAGCTCAGGGTCTCTTATTCTGTCTGGCCTCAGTAGAAGCTGTTTACATGTCCTACTGGATTTTATGTCATCTACAGGATTGGCAGGGTGTGGTAAAGTACCAGTGTGAGGCCCTGTCTTTCTTTCTGCACAACCTACCATGCATGGTTCTGATATAGGGAAGCATCAGCATACCACAGTTTAGGGGTTTGACGAGGGAAGGTCAAGTAGGGAAGCAGGATGGTCAGGGAAGACATTCACGGTGGGGGAAACATTCGAGTGTCTTGGAGCAGTGTTCATCAGCAAGGAGGCTACTGCAATAGGACAACTTTGGACTTGTTCTTAAGTTCTTACTAGACCAGTAATCTTGAGAAAGTAAGGGCTTCCCAGGTGGTGCTAGAGGTAAAGAGCCCGCCTGCCAATTCAGGAGATGTAATAGATGCAGTTTCAATCCCTGGGTGGGGAAGACCCTCTGGAGGAGGGCATGACAGTCCACGCCAACATTCTTGCCTGGAGAATCCCATGGACAGAGGAGCCTGGCAGGCTACAGTCCGTGGGGTCACAACAAGTCAGACACAACTGAAGCGACTTGTTGTGAGACCTAGGGACGCCATCAAATAAGAGGGGATCTTTGAGGAAGAGTTGAGATCCTGCAGGTGGGGCTGTGAGCTTGCAGAATTTGGGTGCTATTGAGAATTTATTCATTCTCTCAGTTTGCTTGGGCTTGAGGACATTTTGTTGTTCTTTTGGGTTATACTAAGTCTTAAGCATTCATAATTATTTCTTCCTTTTAAAGGTTCTGCTGTGAATTGTAATCATCTTATTTACCACTTTCAGTGACAATTTGAGAAGGGAGAAAAGTAACATCTAAGTGTCAAGAAATACATATTTATCCTTGTCCAACTTGGGTCTAGTGATTGGGACCTGCAAATTAACTGACAATAAGCCAATTAACAGGAGAAGAGATGAGGTGTATTTACAGGGGGTTAATTGCAGGTGTGTTTTGGGGAACTTCTGCTTCAGTTATATATGAAACATTCAGATAAGATTTCTTTCTACATCTTTTTAGCTCAAATGTTTTCACTTTAAAATAATCTTTATACTAACTCTGAGGTCTGAGCTGTTCCCTACACGCCTTATCAGATACTGTGCTAGATTTAATCATATACAGTTACTTTTCACAGGTTATTCTATAAGATGTCTCTCTTTTATTTTTTTTTTTTCACAAACAAACCTAGAATTGGGGGTCACATAGGTCAAATGACTTACCCACTATTTATTAAAATAATGATGAATGATATTCAGTATGTGACATGCTCCCATGAGTTACACATTTCTTGCATGCTATGTATGACATGACCCCTCTCTCTTTTCTTTTCTTTTTTTTCAAATATTTATTTATTTATTTGGCTGGAACAGGTCTTAGTTGGGGCATGTGGGATCTTTAGTTGAGGCATGCAGGATCTAGTTCCCTGAGCAGGGATCCAACCCAGACCCCCTGCATTGAGAATGCGGAGGCTTGGCCACTGGGCCACCAGGGAGGTCCCACGACCTCTGTATTTTGACTGAAGAAAGTGTATCAGTAAACAGTGTGTGACACTGATATTAGTATAAGCAGGTGCTTATATCCTCGTAATGTATTTTTAAAGACAAACTAGCAAGCATCATTTATCTGTTTATTGTTTCTAACAGGTGACTAGTGATGATTTCCACAGGCTGTCTCATCCACCTCTATGTCCCAACACCTCAGCCGGGTAAAGCCCTGCCCTGGGCCACTGCCCAAGTGTATAGTAGAATGCTGAGACCCATCAAATTATCTACCCAGGGTATTGACCAGACTCCCAGGTGTTGTTTAGAAAACCTCCTCCACAACAGGTGGACTGGCGAGCATCCTTTGTCAACTGATGCCGAGTTCACATTTCAGGTCCTGGGGTGGGTGGACCCCCCACAGTGGATGGCACAAGGCTACTTGATTAATGAATTCTCTCTGAGCAAATGTCCTTAAAGTCAGTCAGGTTTGAAAAAAAAAAAAAAACCCAACTCTCTGTACATTACTGCTCAGAGTACAAGAAAAGTAGATTTAGTACATATATCCAATTTATTTCTGCCAACGAGCCACCCTTAGGAAAAGATTGCACAGCCTGAAAATATGTGTTCTCAGCTCTGGGATTTCCCTTCCTAAGTCCCTTTATCCTCACAGGGAGTTGAAGGGCAGCAGAGAGCCCTCCTCCAATATTCTCTTCAGTTTTTCACCCATCATTCTCTTAGTCTCTTTCTCCCTCCTGTCTTTTCTGGAAACATGGAAGAAATATGTCCACTGCATATAATACACACATCTCTTCTTGCCAACTAAATGAATGTGTCTGTTGGCCAACTAAAGGAAAACAACTTGAAGGCAAACACTGTATTTTTCATCTCTACCTTCAGTTTGCAATACTATTCAAGAATAAATTATGCTGAATAAATAAACCAAAATAGCCCTCTTTCCTCATTGTATAAACAATCTCTCATGGCAGGCAGGGGCTTATTTATAAGTCATATAGTAATAATAGCAGCCATATATTAAGAACTAACCATCTGAGAGTTTGTTATATATTGAGGAATCCTGGATTCCCAAGCCTCACACATGTCGGCCAAATTCTAGTTACTCATGAGCCAGGTCTATCAGAAGTGATGTGGTGGTTACGAGAAACATGGGGACTAAACATCTATTATCAAGCAACTTCAACTTTGACATGAAAGTCTGAAGAAATAAAATGCCCCATTATTTTATTTAATATAAAAATTATATATATTTAAGAAGTAAAACACGATAACTTGATATACATAAATATAATGAGGTATTTAAACACATAAATATGTATATGTTGCTGCAGCTAAGTCGCTTCAGTCGTATCTGGCTCTGTGTGACCCCATAGACAACAGCCCACCAGGCTCCCCTGTCCCTGGGATTCTCCAGGCAAGAACACTAGAGTGGGGTTTATATATACACATATATATTAATGCATATACATACACTGGCCCCATGGTTACTGTTTTTCTGTGTGTGGTTAAAGCACCTAATATCTACTCTAAGCATATTTCCAATATTCAACTGTGTTGTTAACTATAGTTAGCATGCTGTACGCTAGATTTCTAGACGGACTCATCCGATAAAACTGTAACCGTGTGCTCTTCTCTGACCAACATCTCCCCATCCCCCCCTCCCCTTCCCTACAGCTGGCAGCACCATTCTGCACTCTGCTTCTATGAGTTTGATCTTTTTTTAAAGCTTCTGTCTATAAGTGAAATCACACAATATTTGTCTTCCTCTGTCTATTTTACTTAGTATAACATTTCACCCATTTTGTTGCAAATGGCAGGATTTCCTTCTTTCTCATTGCTGAATATATATGTGTGTGTGTGTGTGTGTGTGTGTGTGTGTGTGTACATGGCATCTTTATCCATTCATCCTCCGATACCCAAGAATATTTTTAAGAGCCCTGCTTCACTATGGATATCTGATTGCCTTGCTTTAAGAAGGTATGTTGACTCTGCAGTTCCTGTGATCGTCCTCACTTTCCCGCACCATGAATTGTTGACATATTGAACCAACAAAGAGGTTTTCATATCTAAATCAAGCACATTGCCTATCAGGTCTTAGTAATGGTTTTAACTCATCTGAAGTTCACAACAACCTTATGAGGCAGGTACTATCATCACCCCCATTTTACAAGTAAGGGAACTAAGAAGCAAAGAGGCATTAAATCCTTGCTCGAGGATACATACCTGTAATTTCAGAAGCTGTGCTTTTAACGCCCACCCATTACACTCCCCAGGTTGGGTGCAGTTAATATGCGTTGCAAAAATAACTGCTAACTAGAGTGATTAAAGAAAGGATTGTTCTTGTTATGTTTCTCAGGCAGACAGGATTCTGCTCAAAATCTTTAAAGCGTTTA